ATTTCTAATTATATTCCATTATATTATTATTGTAATTTTAAATTATTGTAAAATTGGTTTCTAATAAGAGCCATACAACATTACAGTATGTTAAACTCATTTTTGTCGAAAACCTTGTATTTCAACAATAAGCATTTAATATAGATACATAGGCATACAGCAAAACAGGGTGTTCAAAAAGTTTTGAAACAGTCATTAGACTATTATATTAGAACTGATAAATGATAATATTTTATATTATGGTATAATTAATGAGGTGATTAAATAGTTTACCTAATACATATGCAGTGTTATCTGTTATTGCTATATGTTCAGATATAAAATATGCAAACAGTAATTAAAGCGTTTCCAAATTGTTTGAACACCTTGTATTTTTAATTAGTATGCATAATATTAATTGTTGATATAAACTTCTAACTTAAAAGAATAGATTCGTATTTCAATATTCCTGTTGGAGGTAATGTTCCTTCACTGAATTCAATTTTAGACTGGTATCATCAATTTCAAAATACTGGTTCTGTCTTAACAACTTATTAAGGTAGCCAAAAAAGTGTAAGAACACCAGAAAACATTGAACCAGTACGTCAAGCAATCGATCAAAGTCCACAATGCTCGGCATTCTCAGTCGTTGAACTTGTTTATAACAATTAAAAATAATGTTTATGTTGAATAAAATACAATGTGTTTCATTACTTTGTTTTTAATACTGGATCAATAAACTACAATTAAAATTCGTCAGAACCCACTGCCCCACCCTGTATAAATAACTTAAACATTTAAATTTTTTATCATGAAAATCGCACAGTTTATACAAAATGATAATTTAAGTACCTAATAATGTTATACACCTACTTATGTTTCAAGCTTCTACGATTAATATTTTTTGAATTACATATAACACAATTATAAGTATATAAATTAATTATTCATTTAATAGATGCCTATCCAATTTCGTCAAAATTAGAACTTGTCAATAAAAAAAATATATATTGTGCATACGTATTTTAATAATTTTTGGGTAACATGCCAGGATTTCGAGGAGTTAATGCGTTATGCATCGTCGGACATCTTGGACTTGACCTACAATTTTTATCGTTGTACTAGGTGGTAAATATTATATAAATGAATCATTCATATTTTATAATATTTGGTCGTACTCGACATTCGCGATTTTAAATAATTAAGTACAATGTGTATAGTATAAGCTATTCACTGCCAGGGGCTTATTAACATGTTTCCCGCGTGTAGACCTGTGGAAAATGCCAGCCCTAAATAACTAAAATAATAATATAATATACTGCACTGACTGAAATTATCATTTAATTAGCTACTATAAAATATTATATTTTAATCAGGTAAGTATGCAAAAGACCAAAAGACATTTTATTTAAATACTAAGTACTGAAAATTTGCAGCTATAGGTGCGTGCCTATAGTGCCTGCACATAAATACGCCACTGTTCACTGCAATACAAGTCGCGACGGTGAAGTGTGAACAGTAATGTACCACGAGACTTTTGTTGGGCCGAAACGCATTCTCTCGCTGCAGAGAGTAATAATAATTATAATATAATCATTATTATTATTAAAAATGGTCTTCTATCAAGGCAGAAACTTAACATCTCTGATAATCACCGATGACGTGGGCAATTCAAATTGTATAGGCGTTGTGTGGATATATTATTATGATCTTATATATGTTACGTAACTACATATTTAGTAATTAAGTAATAACAATGTACGACGTAGCGCACGTCTCTAATAGTACACGACGATATAATTAATAAGGCAATTAGTATATTATAACACGATAAAAGTATCTCTCCAGGAAAGTCAAACACTCATACGAAGGATACGAGTCGACCAGCATGCCAAGTACGAGACCCGGACGCAGTGTCATGACCGAATTTGGCCATTGGTTCGATCATATAAATACCAGCCCGGGACAAGAGCTTGGCAGACGGTTAGGGATACTCAAGACATTTGGAGGCAGGTCGGTAAACCACTCACGGTCTTAGTATCAGTTCAGAGTCAGATCGTAACACGGCTCACATGTCCACCATAGCTTATATATTATACATTGTAATTTTGTACTTAAATAAACACTCATCATCAACCAAGTACATCAGTATTTCATTCCCGCGTTGATGTATATATCGACCTCAGTTGGGACGTAACATTATGCGATTATACATATAATCGATGATCCCATGTTTCGAATACGTAGAAAATCCGTGTCACAGTATAAAAAAAAGACATCGGTTTTCCAATAAAAATGTACAAATTGTGTCAAATAGAACGGCCGACATTTCGGCCTCAAGAGCCACCGACTACCAGGGTCTCATGAAGACATAACCATGGCCAGCTGCATGCAAACATAGTATGGTGAGACATAATAATATTATTATTGTACTGTAACGTAATTCTTAAAAATACGTAATATCAAAATATATTTTATAATTAGTGTTCGGGACATCTTCCGTTTGTATGTTTTTTTTTTGCAACGGTCGTAGTAAGTTATTCTAGGTAGGTAAGGTAGGTTATAAATTAAATACATACTATCTCCTACTTTCATGAGTCCTATTCCCTCACTTATTGATTTGTATCATTTGTAACCTGGGTCGTCCATTATATTTGCTTTTTTTTCATACAGTTTATAACCAAATGTAATTTTATCATTGTTTTAAATAAAATAATTGTTTGACTTTGCTCATCTACCTCCATAAAATCTATATATTCAACCATAACATTCTCAAAATAACATTTTAGTTTACATTTTCCTAACACTTTTATGAAACTTCCATTGTAATTGCTCAAGTTTATTTGAATTTTTTCCAATCAACCGACCATTATAATTGTGAACAAGTCAATTTATCATGTTATTATATTATTTATTATTATTTTTATTAATTTATATATGTGGTTGCCTATAGGTAGGTAGTAGATATGTGTCACTATAACAATAGCTCAAACTTTGTTGCATTCGTATATTGTTATTTTTTTCCTTCAATGATGTAAATGGGTACTGCAAGGTAAACTTACCATTTTTGTTTTTCAATTTTTCAAACAAAATTTATGTTTTCCATGTAATTGTGTGATGAGTATTGAGTTGGTAGATACTTGGTTACCAGTACTTAATTTAATTTATAATTTTTTAATTTAAATAAATAATATATTTTGCACATATAAGTATATTGTTGGGGGGACGGGGTGGCTGAGCGGTCTAAGGCGTCCGTTGCGACGCAGCCGATGTCGGCTCGATTCCCGGCCGCGGGCGGCATTTTTCTTCGGGCAAGTCACGGTGTCCGGAGAAAAAGTTCCACCATTCCCCCTACCCGGGCATGGCAGATACCTATGGACGCCCACTGAAAAATATATCAAACACACACGTGTTCCATCTCCCTACAGTTCCACAAACTAATAATCACAGTAGTTGAAGTCTCAAACATCCCAAAAAAAATGTATATTTTAATAAATCAATTATACATGAGTTCGGAGGTTATGCTGGACTACCACTAATTTCCCTTTTTCTGTGGTTCAAAACTGTCTACGCAGCGGAATATGTGACCGTGCTCTTTCTCACTGGTACCTACATGGATACGTATAAACATAAATATAATATAATATATTATACGAAATGCTTATTTTACAATACCTAGTTATTTTATAATTATTCTTATACTACTACTACTAAATGAAATGGGTTTATAACAATATAATATATATTATATTATAAATATTTATTTTTTAGTAGACACCTACCTAGTTATACAGTTTTGGTAAGTCGAAAAAAATTCCGTCCCCTTGCGAAAACCTCGATTACTCGAAAAAAAAACTATAGATAACTCGAACATTCTGTGCTCCGAATATGACGGATAATGACAGATAATTTTATAAACATTTGTCTAATCGGCTTGTCCGTTCCGATAATTTTATCTAATCGCGTTTATTGTGTTTATTATCGTATGTATTAACTAACCTTGGCACGTAACAGTATTTTTAATTTGTATCGGTATTGCCAGTTGCGATCAATCGATTACGCGTGTGCGGTGTCTGTGTACGGTAGTGAATGTAAAAATGTCTCGTAATTTAAAAAATCTTACTATTGGAGAAAAAAAAAAGGTTCTTGAAGCAGTGAAAAGTGGAAGGAAGAAGAAGGACATAGCAATAGTATATACAATATACATATATACAGTATATATATATGTATGTATGTTTTTAATTATTATGTACTTAGTATATAATATACTAAGTACATAATAATTAAAAACATTAATACATACATACATTTTTAAAACTCTTTAAGTCGATTTTTTTTCTAAAACCTTGATAACTCGAAAACCTTAGTAAGTCGAAAACCTTGATAAGTCGAAAAAATTGAATTTCGACTTATCAAGGTTCCACTGCATATAAAATCATACTGTATACGAAAAACGATTTTGAGCAGACGGCCTGTCAGCTTATTATATTAATAAGTATATTGTTTGTTATAATTGCCATTAAAGTAATTATATCTTTAGTAATAGGTACAGCGTAGTTATTGAATTAATTTATGCCGAAACAATAATATTGTTAAATAATTTACTCTCATCTTGATATCAAACTGTATATAATTTAACTTATGTTATGTAATTTATGGTTATTTTTGTGGTCTCGCAAACGTACAAACGAAGTTCATAATGTCGAGCACAATTTCGTCTTATGTGCCAGATCAGGAACCGTTTAAAAATTATCTTGATCGTTTAAGGGCTCAGTTGTCAGTGTTAAAAGTGAAAGACGATCAACGCCAAAAGTACCTCATTACGTTTATAGGTTCAGAAGCCTACAGTCAATTGAAAAACGCATGTTTACCGTGTCATCCCTCAGAAAAGACTTTTGAAGAACTAGTCACATATTTGGACGCGATATATTCGCCACGGCGTTTAGTGGTGAGTGACCGTTTTAAATTTAATCAGTGCTGTCAAAGTCCGGGGGAATCGGTACAAGATTTTATCACTACGTTAAAAAAGTTAGCAAGTCACTGTGAATTTGACACATTTTTGGATGATGCACTTCGCGACAGACTAATTGTAGGTCTAGCGGATGAAGCATGTCAAAGAAAATTGCTGGGTGAGTCATCACTAACTTTTCAGAAAGCATGTGAAAAAGCTTTGGACTCAGAATTAGTGAAAAATCAGTCCAACCATATAAAAAATAAATCTCAAGTAAATTGGATCGCAAAAAATTACAAAAATAAACCACAGTCAAAGTCAGATCAGTTAAAGAAAAATACCAGTGCAGTACCAAGTAGTAGTCAGTCAACCAATCAAAGCGCCGAGGGGTCAAAACGAGGTAGTCAATCGTACAGTCAGTCACAACAGAGATCAAGTAAGGAGTCGAATCAATGTTACCGGTGTGGAAGAACTCATGATGCTCGTAACTGTCCAGCAAAACAATGGGAGTGTTTCAATTGCAAACTAAAAGGACATGTATCGGTAATGTGTAGAAATAAGAAAAAAATTATTAAATTAGTAGAAAGTGTTAATAATATACAATGTATAAATAGTATTGAAAGTTTAAAAGTAAATGAACCACTCATTATTGATTTGCTTGTAAATGATCAGTTAATGACATTTGAAGTCGATAGTGGTGCTTCAGTTACTGTAATACCAAAAGTGATTTTTGACAGATATTTTAGAAAGACTAAATTAAAAAAAGAAAAATGTAATCTGTCATCAGTAAATGGGGAATCTATAACAGTAGTTGGTCAATTAATTGTAAATGTGAGATCCTCAAAAAATGAAATTATTAAATTACCGTTAATAGTAACAGAAAATTGTGTAAAAAAGTCACTTTTGGGTCGTTCGTGCGGTTAAATGAATTGTTTCCTGAATGGAAAAATATTTTTAACTATCATAAAATAAAATTTGAATGTAATGAAATAAATTGTAAAAGAATTGAAGGTATAAAAAAAAGCAATGAAAATCAAGTGGACGTCATAGTGAGTGAAATGAAGTTGAAATTTCCGGGTGTAGTAAAAAGGTTGGTCAATGAGGAAGAATGTATAAAAAATCATGAAGTAAATTTGGAACTAAGAGAAAATAGTGTACCGAAATTTCAAAGGGCGTACCAAGTGCCTTATGCTTTAAAACCTGCAGTGGAAGAAGAACTGGTGAGATTAGAAAAGGAAGGGGTAATATCGCATGTGGTAACAAGTGAGTGGGCGTCTCCGATAGTTATAGTGCCAAAAAAAAAATAATAAAATACGAATTTGTGTCGATTTTAAAAATACATTAAACCCTTACGTAAAAGTAGATCAACATCCGTTGCCAAGAATAGACGATGTATTTAATAATTTAACAGGAGGACAATGTTTCACGGTAATAGATTTATCGGAAGCATATTTACAACTTCAGGTAGCATCGTCGAGTCGTCATTTTTTGACTGTAAATACTCATAAAGGATTATATCAATTTAATAGACTTTGTTATGGTATAGCTTCAGCTCCTAGTAAATTTCAAGCGGTAATGGAAAATATTTTAATTGGGCTAGAAAATATTCAAGTGTACTGGATGATATTATTATAAGTGGAAAGTCCATCGATGATTGCAAAAATAAAGTTTGGTTGGTATTAAGTCGCTTACAAGAATATAGGGTAAAAATAAATTTTGATAAATGTCAATTTTTCCGTTCAAGTGTGGTATTTTTAGGTCATATGATAGATAGGCACGGGGTTCACCCAACGGTTGATAAAATGGAAGCGATTTTAAATGCTCCGCAACCAAAGGATATAAGTCAATTAAAATCGTTCTTAGGTTTAATTAATTATTATCAAGGTTATATTCCAATGTCATCGACTATTTTAGCCGCATTATATAATTTGACAAAAAAAAATGTTAAGTGGATTTGGTCAAAAGAGTGCGAGTCAGCATTTAAAAGAGCGAAATCAGTATTAAAAGAAAGTCAGTTATTAGTTACTTATAACCCAGATTTGCCATTAATTTTGACGTGCGATAGCTCTAGTTATGGCGTGGGTGCAGTACTAAGTCATATAATAGATAAGGAAGAAAAACCTATCGTGTTTGCATCGAGTACGTTATCGGCAGCTGAAAAAAATTATTCTCAAATCGATCGTGAGGCATTAGCTATTATATTTGGAATAAAAAAATTTCATAAATATTTGTTTGGTCGAAAGTTTATTTTAGTATCGGATCATTTGCCGTTAAAAACATTATTTAATCAAAACAAAAATATTCCAGTACATGCTTCGTCAAGACTTCAGAGATGGGCTATAATATTATCGGGTTATGATTATGAATTTCAATATAGAAAGGGGTCAAATATAAATAATGCTGATGCGTTATCGAGATTACCTATAGAGGGAAATATTGATGAAGATTTAGGTTCAATAATGTTAGTTGAACAGTTACCATTATCGTTTCACGAAATAGCAAAGCAAACAAGTGAAGACGCTGTTTTAAAAATAGTTTGTGAGCAGGTTAAGTCTGGTTGGGTTGGCCATAAAAATTATAAAAACGAGTCGGAACCATATTTTCGTAGGAGGTCCGAGTTGTCAATTGAAAAGGGATGTTTAATTATAGGAAATAGAGTTGTAGTTCCAAATATATTAAGACAGCAAGTGTTAAATATTTTACATAAAAATCACCCAGGTGTAGTACGGTCAAAAATGTTAGCTCGATCTTATGTATGGTGGCCAAATATAGATAGTTGTATTGAAAAGTATATAAAATGCTGTTCACAATGTCAGTTAAATCAAAACGATAAAAGTAAAAATGATAAAATTTTTGTCCCCTGGCCAAAGTCAGAAAAACCTTTTCAGCGTATTCATATTGATTTTTTGGACGTAAATAAAATTAAGTTATTAATTCTGGTAGATAGTGGAAGTAAATGGATTGAATGTTGGGCGTTAAATAGTACAACCGCAGCAATGGTAATCAGAGTTTTAAGCCGTTGTTTTTGTACTTTTGGATCGCCTGAAATACTTGTGTGCGATAACGGGCCGCCGTTTGGTTCAAAAGAATTAAAAACATATTGCATTAATAATAGTATAAAGTTATTACATTCTCCACCGTATAATCCGGAGTTAAACGGTTTGGCGGAGAGAGGGGTACAAACTATTAAGAAGATATTAATTAAGTCACTGTGTAATGAGAGAGAGATAACGAGAATGCAAACGAAAATAGACGATGCATTATTGTCTTATCGAAATACACCGTCAGCTGATACAGGTTGTTGTCCAGCAGAAATGATGTTAAATTTTAAGCCGAAAACACAATTAACAGTATTAAAACCAAAAATAGGAGGGAACATTATTTTAGAGCACTCAATGGGAAAATCGGAAAATTTTGAAATTAATGAAAATGTGTTAGTAAAAAACCCACAAGCGAAAGGTCAAAATTGGTTACCAGGTAAAATTATGAAAGTACTGAGTGGATGTAGGTATTTAGTGATGATGAATGGTAGCGTGAAAATGGTGCATATAAATAAATTAAAACCTAGTATGTTAAGCGAAGGAATACATCAGAGTAATTAAATCGTAAAAAAAAAAAAAAAATAATGTATTATTAGTTATTAATTATTATTTATTATTGTTGTGTTTATATTATTATTTGTTATATTATTATGTAATTATTATGTATACAATTATAATTACCTATGTAGTTTCAGTATATTAAGAATGTGAACGCTAAAGTAATTAAATTATAAAATGTTATTAGAATATTATTATTATTTTTAAGGAGGAATAATGTTATGTAATTTACCTACCTAATTAATATTTATACTATTATGTAATTGGTATCGACGACAGCGCGATACTGCGATAGCCGTTTCATATTATAATAAACAGTCTTAATTAAATCGTACTCGCTGTAAGTTGTTTTGTCGACCGCTGCACTCCGCGCGTCAGTTTAAAAAGCGCAAACATAACAACTTACAGCAGTACACTTTTTTTTTAACTAATTTTTGGAAGGCCAATTTTTGTAACACATTATCTATGTTATAGAAACGCAAACCAAAAAAATTAAATTAAATTAAATCGCTAACCAAATGTAGCATGTTACTAGATATTTTTTAATTGTACTATACCCAAAAATATATCTATGATTCCTCAATTTAATTTAACTTAATGTTTTTTATCATACTTTTGGACTGAGTAGTAAATAAATGTTAAAAAATATCATTCCGTATTTCCGTCAATTTTTTAATCGTTAAAAAGGCGCATTTTCCTAGGTTTGCCAGGGGGCGCTAACGAGTAACGAGTCTTTCTACGCCACTGAGCGTACCGGTCGATAATGATGTTCGCGACGTAAGCGCGGACGACGGCGACGACGGTAGCAGAAAACGTGACTCCGCGGCGATACTGGCGACGCAAGCGCGGACGACGGCGACGGTCGTTGGTAGCAAATACGGATAACAATATAACGAACGGCCGGACGTCGCATGGAGGGGCGGGGCATTAGGAGGACAGTTATCGCGTCCGACCGGATTGGATTGTCCCGGCCGGCCCCGTTCGCTCCTCCTATGCGACCGGTGCTCGCTTACTGTGTACATCATAGTCGCCTGCGTGGTACGCAGTGGCGTACACACGGATGGGGTTTTGGGTGTTCAACCCCCCCCCCCCCTTTAGTATTTTTTCAGTTTACGTAATAACGTAAAAATGTATAATAAAAATGATGACAATTTAAAAAAATATTATATTCCAAATTATACTCCATTATATTATAACTCAGGGGTCTCCAAACTTTTTATTCAAGGGCCACAA